ATAGAAGAAAAGGAGATCAGAATTTTAAAAGACGTACCTTGGCGAGTATGAGAAAAAATACAAAATTATAATATACTAACTAACTTATTAAGAAAAAAATGGAATAGTATACAGATGGTTAATACCAGAAGGATTACTATTCATGTTCAGAGGTAGAAGGCAAAGAATAGACTCGGTGTTCAAACTTGAAAACTTTTTGGAAAGAGAGGGCGAGGGTCTGGGTTGGCAAAAAGAAGAAGACAAAGAGGAGGAGGAGGAGACAGGAGGAGGAGGAGACAGGAGAAGTCGAAACAGAAGTAGAGACAGAACCTGCAGGGAAAAGTAAAATGCAAGAAAAATATAAGGAAAAAGAAAAGAAAATACGAAGAAGTAGAGCTACGGGAAGAACGCAATCACAATTCTGACTAGATTTCAATTTAAGAACAAAAATAGCGACAGAAAAACCCAAAATGATGGGAAGTAAAAAATTAAAGAATCTCTCAATAAACATAAATGGTTTAATTGGACCACAAAAAAGAAACAGAAACAGGATATTTCACCAATTATCCAAAACAAAATCAGACTACTTAGAACATAAAAAACTGGGGAAAGTATTCATAGCTTCAGATAAAATAAAAAAGTGAGGAGTGGCAATATATGGAAAAGAACATTTACATCCGGAACTCGTTTACAGATCAGAGGATGGAAGGGCTATTAATATAATGAGAAACGGGAAAGAAACACTTATTTTGAATATATATGCACCAAACCAAAGTCAAGAAAAGTTCTTTGCAAAAATTAGGAAATTTTTAGCAACCAGAGAAGTTGGAGACTTATGTATTATCGGAGATTACAATGCAGTCTTTGACCCAAAAACTGATAAGAAAAAAAAAAAAAGAACTCAAAATCAGGTTTGCTTTTGCCGAAATCATTGTTGAAGCTAGTTGAAGAATATAACATGATAGATGCCTGGTGGACGAGAAACATAAATAAAAAAGACTATACCTTTTACTCTGCCAGGCATAAGTCGTGGTCTAGAATTGATATGGCCTGGATCACTACATTGTTGATAAAGGAACTAAATGAAGCAGAAATACTAACAAATACTTAGGCAGACCATAACCCGATACAACTGATATTTCAGCAAACACAAAAAAACACAAGATGGAAAATAAATTTGGGCTTCTTAAGAGACAAAGAATTTATTTCAAAAACTAATACGGAAATACAAGAGTTTTTCAAAAGAAACACACAAGAAGAAACCTCAATTAATGTAATATTGAATACCTTTAAAGTGTTTTTGAGGGGATGGTTTATTAGTCACAATGCTTGGAAAAGAAAACAAAGAAGAGAAAAAAATTGATAAATTAAAAGGGAAAATAAAGATAGAAGAAGATAAGATAGGTCTTGTTTTAAGCGATTGCTGATGCTTGGGTCTTGAAAAGAGATTGGGATTTTATGTCTGAATCCATTTAATATCTTCCCTACCTGTTAATGTCATCAGTAGCTTTCCACCTGTCTAAATATGGCACCAGACACTATGAAACATACCAGATTATTTTACAAGGGCAGGCTCAGTGGTTTTACATGGTCTTGTTCTGCTGAGGGCCACTATTGCTGGGGTTGGTTGTAGGGATTTCTTTCCTGTTATTGCTGGGAGGCTGGTAACTAATGCATCCTCAGTTACTGTATTTAGATACTGTAAAAATTCTGCAGCTAATGTCTCTAGAGGTTTTCTCTTAAAAGCTGCTGAAGCATGGAGCATCCGATCTCTTTGTTCAGGCAGGGGTCCTTTGGCACATTATTTACACATTTCCAATGGGGTTTCAAAGAGTATACTTCTAATCATTAGGTTTTAATTTTTCAAGAGCTGAGAAAGAAGCAGGTTCCCTGGCGCTATTGTAAATCGGTGGGATCTGTGCTGTTTAATAACCTTTGACATCTTTCAGATCCCCAGGTTGCCTTGTCATCATCTGGTTAAATATGTCATCCAATAGAGCCCTAAAGGTCAGAGTGGGGCTAGACATGTTTTTAAAACCACTAAAACC